CATTATTGTTTCCATTAGTTTTTTTAAGCCGGGAAAAGTACATTAAAGAGTTTTGTCACTAGACCGTTAACTATATAGGGGATAAAGTAATTTTTTTCAAAATTTCTCATTGTAAGTATTTTACTTTATATTTCAGTTTCCCTTCCTAAAGTACATCAACGTTATGATTTAGATGGGGATGCTAGCATGGCTAAGGTTAGTATTTAATTGAATTACTGTGTAAATATCTGAATTTAAATTATCCTATCAGTAGTGAAAGCAATAAATTACCTGTGTCTTTATATATGCCTATGTGACTTAGGAAATTATTCACTTAAATTGATACTCTTTCCAAGTTATTTTGTATTCTTATTTAATTTTTATCCTTTAACTCATTGTAAGAAAATTCTCCTATTGAGACAGTGCATGTTTAGATAATGTTAAAGATGAAATATTTATATCTATTCTTAGCTTTTGGAAATTAGTGGTTTATTATGTTTTTGATTAACCTGATAGAAATGTATAAGCTTGGAAAATTCTGTGTAAAAGTTTTTCTTACCTTGTACCACAATTAGCACCAAATATTGACATTTTTAATTTCTTCATTAGGCAGTAACAGGGGTTGTGTGTTATGCCTGTAGAATTGCCAGTACCTTGCTTCTATATCAGGAATTAACACGAAAGGGGATACGATGGTTGATGTAAGTAATCAAATTTTGAAAATTGACCTTCACATAGACCTCACTAAAAAACTGTTAATCACCCCGTCACTGTTATTTTACCTCTTCAGACTAGTTAGGGTCAGGGGCTTGGTTATCATAATACATTTGTTTCACATTAGTGTACAAAACATTTAGCAGCTATTTTTTCATTTCAGTCCTACAGTAACCTTGTGAGACAGGACAAATAGCATCTGAATTTTAAAACTTAAACACCACACTGTATGATGTGATAGCAAATGAATTTCTTTTCAAGGACCTTGACCTGGTTTTCGTTTCACTGTCTTGGAAAGCTTTGGCTTGTTACAATCCACAATTTGTAGTTTCTAGGATTTTGAGTCCTCAGAACCTCCCTCTTTCCCAAATGAAGTACACACTTGCCTTTTTTTAATTGCATTATTGAGATGTAATTTACATAGTATGTAATTTGCCCATTTACGTGCATAATTCATTGGTTTTCAGTATATTTACAGAGTTGTGCAACCATCACTACTAATTTTAGAACATTTTCATCATCCCAAAACACTCCCCATTTCCCCTCCAAACCTCCCAGCTTTAGGCAACCACTAATATACTTTATGGATTTGTCTATTGCAGACATTTCATGTAAACAGAATCTCACCTTGACAAGCAATTTAAAAGCTAATTTTCTTTTACTGAATGACTTAATATAGTTATTCTAGATCAGAATATTGATCATCTGGTTAAGTATGCTCTTCCTGAAAGTGACCTTAAGGAATGTAAGATGGATATGATTTTTACCTCTTTTTACTTTTCATGATTTATAGATGTCATCTTTCTACTTGATAGAAGTGGAAAATAAAAGGATCTCTTTTGAGAATTATGCTTATAGTTTGACATCATTCAAAGCTTTTGAATTTGGTACACACATAGTAATGGCCTTGTGGCCAACAGATGCTGAAAACTGTATTTTCTGGGCTCACCTCACTGCCCTTGGGCTTTAATGCTTTGGGCAGTTTATGTATACCCATCTCATACCCATCGCTTCTTGCAAAAATGATGAAGAACCCCTTCATCATTCTTGTTATCTTTTTTTTTTTTTTTTTTTGAGACAGAGTCTCACTCTCTTGCCTGGGGCAAGCGCCGTGGTGTCATCCTAGCTCACAGCAACCTCAAACTCCTGGGCTCAAGCGATCCTTCTGCCTCAGCCTCCCGAGTAACTGGGACTACAGGCATGCGCCACCATGCCCGGCTAATTTTTTCTATATATTTTTAGTTGTCCGATTAATTTCTTTCTAATTTTTAGTAGAGACGGGGTCTCGCTCTTGCTCAGGCTGGTTTCGAACTCCTGAGCTCAAACAATCCGCCCGTCTCGGCCTCCCAAAGAGCTAGGATTACAGGGGTGAGCCACCGCGCCTGGCCGAGACTTAGATTTCTTATGAGAATCAAAGTATAGATGATTAAATGGCTTAAGGTCACAGAGTCTTATGCCATCAGGACTTCTAACTTCACATCAGTTGCTTTCACTAGATTATATTGTTTTTCCTTATAACTTGTTGAGTTGTGGCTTTTTTCCTAATGGAGACCTTAAATTTTTTTCCCCACTACAGAAATAAAATTTGTTAAGTAAAAAAGATACCACATAGGCTTACCACCGAAAAACAGTTCATGAAAAGTTTTGTCTATTGTCCTGCAGCAGTGCTTCTCAGAGTGGCCCCTGGATCGGCAGCATCACTTGGAAATTTTTTAGAAATGCAAATTTTGGGGCCCCACCTTGGACATGTTGAATCAGATACTCTGGTGATAGGGTCAAGCGAGGGGCCCTTTTTAACAAGCCCTCCAGGTGATTCTGATAACTGCTAAAGTTTAGACAACCACTATTTTCATTTTCTTTTATACATATTATTAAATGATTATTACTGTGCAAACATGTTATTTTTATTTTTTGTATAACATTATGGTATAGGCATTTCCTAGGATTCTTTTGGTAATACTTTTTTAATAAACATAATATTACAGCCAATGGATTTATTACAGTCTTACCTATTATTTCTCTGTTCTTGGTCCTTCAGGTTGTTATTTTTCACTCTTCTATGTAATGCTGTAAGAAGTGACTTTTTTCATAAACTATTTTCCGTATATTGGATGTATAATTTAACACATTCTAAACATTAATGTTAAAGAAGACATAAAGCATTAAAAACCAAGATATTTGTTTGACTATATAAAAATTTAAGATCTCTATTTGTTAAAAAAAAAATTGTTAGAAAGCAAATAAGTTGGGAAAATGTGATAAAGGGTTTTTAATAAAAATAGGTCAAATTGATAAATATAAAATATACAACAGATGAGTAAAGAACATTTAGAGATAATTTACAAATGAAAAAGTATATCTAATGAACTTGAAAAAATGCTCAAACTCAATAGTAATAGAAAATTGCTATGTTATATCATAAATGTTATAACAGCAAGATACCATTTTTGTCTTTCAAATTATCAAGGCTTAAAAAATCATAATGCCAGTGTAGACAAGAGTGTGGTTAAAAAGGGCACCCTTGTTTGTTGTAAGTGGCAGTTGATGCCGCCACTACCAACTTTTTTCTGAAAAGCAATAGTGTGTATCAGGGCCTCTTAAATATTTGGACATATTTATCCTTTAAGTCTAACCTTCATCCTTTCTTCTTCATGAGTTGTACAAATACTGTACTCAGTTCTGTGGTAGATAAGTTTACTAAGCTTAAAATGAACATGATCTTCAGTGAGGTTTCTTTTCATTTTCTGTTTTTTGAGAGGGGTAACCTTTGGCCTCTAAACAAGGAAAGCACAAATCTGACATATCTATACTTTATAGTTGGCACTATGCTAATGGTTCTCCTAATCATTTTTTTACAGATAAGGAAACAGAAGATTAAAAGTATTTTACATGTTTTTTTTAAAGGGTATTTATTATATGAAATATTTTATAAAATATATTAAGGCTAATTAGTCTCATGTTTTCTTATCATGCCGTACTCTTGGTGGAAATCAACCTAAGAAACTGTCCTGTACTTAAAGATGGAAATAATTACTCTGCCTTTGAATTGAAGTAATCTACAAAAGAAATGTGATCCAGACTTTAGACTCCATTGGCTTGGTGATGATTATTTCTGACTTGGGCAATCTGGATCTGAACCTGTTGGTTTTATTTAGCTTTCCAGTTCTCAGGGAACAATAGAAACCAATCTTCAGGATATCAACAGCAGATTGTCGCCAGGTGGATTGCTGGCAGACACGTGGGCACATCAGGAAGGCACTCATCCAAAAGATCGAAAGTAGGTTATAATTTTATTATTATTAAATGTCCTTTTTCATATCAATTCAGTTAATTTATTTGGATTTTTCTTCCTTAAATAGTGTAGAAAAGCTACAGGTCCTGTTAAATTGCATCACAGAGATTTACTATCAGTTCAAAAAAGACAAAGGAGAACGTAGTAAGTAAAATTTGCTACTTGTTAATCTAATAAGTCACCCTTAGTGGTCAGTTGTAATGCAGTTAAATTAATTTGGTATATTTATAAAGGTGACTACTTAAGCTGTTTGTTTCAGAGATGTGATTCTGTTAGGAAAGAGGTTAAATGTACTAAAAATTATTCTTAAAACCAAACTTTTGAATATTTTAAATTAGGGTCATAACTTCCAAAACCTGTCACCAGGCAGGTAACAGAAAGGAGTGAGACTGGCTAGTGGGGACTGAGGAGAACTGGAGAGTAGAGACCCCATCTAGAGGGGAGAGCCCCTACTCAGATTCACTTTTCTTCCCATTTCTCAAGAAAAGCTAGAAATACAGATTTTGTTAGATATGTCCTGATTTTTAACTGTTGGGGAGCTCATTTTTTTTTAATGTTAACACTGTACAGACCAAATAAAAGCATCTGTGGGCCCTAAGTAGCCCATGGGCCACAAGTCTGTTACATCTGCTTCAAACTCTTGGCCTTTTTGAAGCAGTAATCTCAGAGATTGTGCATGATGTTATGATTCTACGTTAACAAAAGTAATATATTTTCTTATTTCTAGGACTAGCTTATAATGAAGAACAAATCCACAAATTTGATAAGTAAGTGTCTAGATGATGTTTAATAATTGGTTATTTTTGGTGCTATTTTGGTTATCTTTAATATGATTCTTCTTAAATTTGAAATTAATGACAATAAAATTACATTTTAATTTTGACTTTATAGGATTGTTACTATGTGTACACATTTTTTGAGGTTCACTCACCTGGTTCCTGATTGGGAGGTTACCAAGATGGGAGAACAAGGGGGGAGAAAGATCACCACTCCCCTTAGCTGTCTTCTGCCTCATTGTGCTCCAGCTGCAGGACAGATAAAAGAGAACGTAGGCGAGGACATACTTAACTACCTTCTTAACTTTAACCTCATTCACTTGATATTTTTTTTTTTTTTTTTTTGAGACAGAGTCTCACTGTGTTGCCCGGGCTAGAGTGCCGTGGCGTCATCCTGGCTCACAGCAACCTCAAACTCCTGGGCTCAAGCGATCCTCTTGCCTCAGCCTCCCGAGTAGCTGGGACTACAGGCATGCGTCACCATGCCCGGCTAATTTTTTCTATATATTTTTAGTTGTCCGATTCATTTCTTTCTATTTTTAGTAGAGACGGGGTCTCGCTCTTGCTCAGGCTGGTTTCGAACTCCTGAGCTCAAACAATCCGCCCGCCTCGGCCTCCCAGAGAGCTAGGATTACAGGCGTGAGCCACCGCGCCCGGCCCACTTGATATTTTTTTTTAACATTCACCGTTTTGAACCTTCTCTTTCTCCTCTTGCTGGTGTAATATCTACCTCAGAAACTTTTGCTTTCTATTGTAAATATTCTGAAGCCACAGCAATAATTATAGGAAACAGATAAATTTTAGTATTTGAAAATTTTTAAATATTAGAAGTAGAAACAGTATAGTTGATTTATGCTTCTTTGATTATTTCTAAATTACAGGCAAAAACTATATTACCATGCAACAAAAGCTATGACCCACTTTACAGATGAATGTGTTAAAAAGTACGAAGCATTTTTGGATAAGTCAGAAGAATGGATGAGGTAAGTAAACTTGTTTTCAAGTGATTTGTGGTTGACTGCACAATATAATGTATATTGCGTGTTTTAAGTAAGAATATTTCACTAAGCTGCTTATTAATCAATTCTTTTTGGATTTCAGAAAGATGCTTCATCTTAGGAAACAGTTACTATCTCTAACTAATCAGTGTTTTGATATTGAAGAAGAAGTATCAAAGTATCAAGACTATACCAATGAGGTACAGCTATCAAAAGTATCTAGAAAAAAATGGCTTTTTTCCATTAGGAAAAACTAAAATTCTTCTCACTTTATATCTGATAATGATTGAGAAGAGATAAATAAGACATATAATGTGCCTATATTCAGTTCTACTCACCCATTTTTGAATACGGATTTTCAGCCAAATTTTAAGAAGTTAGATGTTTTATAAGTGAAAACATCTGATAAACCATTCTTTTATCATCTATAAGAAAAGTTTCTAAAAAGGGTATTGATTTAAGTATTGTATCATTTTAGACAAATAGAAATTTAAAGCAATAAAAGACACATTAAAAGCTGTAACACTTGATCTAAGATCTGTAGTCAGTAATTTTGTTCTGTGATTAATGCAGTTTTTCAATGTTTTAGTTACAAGAAACTCTGCCTCAGAAAATGTTTGCAGCTTCCAGTGGAATCAAACATACCATGACCCCAATTTATCCAAGTTCTAACACATTAGTGGAAATGACTCTTGGGTAAGAATCTTATCATTTGGTAACTATAATATTTCCATTTGCTTTTATTTCAGTTTGTGATCTTGCTCTTATATTTTGAAATTTTTGATGTTTGTTGTGAATACAATGTTTTGATAATATTAATGACTAGTTACATTTAGAAAACTAAAACATAATACATAATTCTAAAACATTTGCATACTTTTTTTGAGCAAAAGTGCTTATCTTTATTTTGTATATATAGTATGAAGAAATTAAAGGAGGAGATGCAAGGGGTGGTTAAAGAACTTGCTGAAAATAATCATATTTTAGAAAGGTGAGTAATGCAAAAATTATCCTGTATTGCAATTTTCTATGCCAGTGAGTACAGATACATTTATGCTTATACCAGTAGAGTAAGCAGTAGGAAAGGGACATAAAATCAGAACACTTATGTTTTTTCCTGTCAGCATGACTGTGAATTCATGATGCCTTTTAAGGGTTGATTGCATTTTATAGAAGCACTGGTTGTTAATAGAATTATTTGCTTATTTGAACCAGTGTGTAAAAACCAAGATCTTTTCATGATGTTTTTTATAACATTTGTTCACTGGAATCATAATTTTCAATTTGGGGAATCAGAGTTGCTTGTAAGGTACCAGCACCTTGGTGCTGAGTAGCCTACGGAGGAGCCCTCTGCAGACTCTTCGCAGGTGACTGCCATAGGTAGATGTGGTGTCTGCTTATTGCCTACAGAATCCTAACAGATAAGGCCAAAAGAGAGTTGAAAATGTACAGAGCCAAAAAAGTCCATTTGGGGTGCCTGTTTTCCTTATTCTGACTCCTCAGAGAAGTTAAATCATATTTGGCTCTGTAACAGAGCCCTTTCTTTTTTAAGCCCTTAGGTGTTCCTCTACAGGTTCTTTAACCCTTGCAATGCTAATAAAAATATCTCACATTTATTTTCACACTGCATAATCTCACTTACCCTGCATTACAGCCTTGTAGAGTATCACAGCAGGTAGTCTATCCGTGTTCTACAGGTATTAAATTCATACCCCAAGAAGATGAACTGGAGCTAGAATGCAGCGTCCTGGCCTTCCCTGTTTGTTGGGAATTTAAGTTTCTGATTTTTCACAATTACAAACCATGCTTCAGTGAACATCCTTGTGTATATATCTTCATGTACTTGTGTAAGAATTTTTGAGGGATCAATTTCTAGATGTGGAATTTCTGGGTTAAGAGGTATGCACATTTAAATTTTGGTGGTTATTACTAATTTGTTCTTTAAAAGGGTTCTATGTTATAGTCCTAAACAGACAAAACCTATGCCTTTGAAAACACTGAATGTTACCAGTCTTTTAAATGTTTGCAAATTTGTTTAGTAAAAACAGATGTCTTGTTTTAATTTATATTTCTTTGATTAATAGTGATGTCAGACATCTTTTTATGTGTTTATTCAATTTTTATTTTTTCTGGAAATTGCCTCTTGGTTTTTTTTTTATCTGTTTTGTTCATTTATAGAAACTACATAGTACTTCCCTAACTTTTTATAGTATGCCGTTTACAGTTTCTTCACAACTTTAGCTAAATCCTAAATTTATTCTGTAAGGCTAAGATCAGCAAGTATAAGAGACTGTTAAGATATGCTTTAACAGACTTTTACATTGAATCACTTATGCCTTGGGGAATAAAATCCCCACTTCCTAAAACACATCCAGTAAGTCAGTTCCTCCGATGTTTTATTTGCAGGTTTATTTGACAATATATGAGTAATATAACATGACATAATCTTAATTTAAATGATAAGTGACTACATAAGGATTTGTGACAGAACTAGTGATGGAAGCTAAGTCTTATGCGGAGTATTATGTCTCCATGGAGACACATGGAGTCACTATGTCTCCATGTGGATATCCCACAATCCCTTCAGATTTTTTTTGTGTTTAAAATCATCCATCCCAACTCAGTTTTGCCTCTAATTTCCTCATCCTGTTCAGTGAAACCACCTTTCTCCTACTTCCTTAAATGTAAATTATTTTAGACGCTTATTCTTTACTCCCTCTCAACTTCCTTCAAAATGCTCCCATATTCCCCTCATCACCCTCACTCAGATCTCCTCTCCCCTTCGCATGTGAGCTGTGGGGAATAACCTAACTAACCTATTTTTTCCTTAACCCCACACTTTTCCCATCTGCCATGGGTGTTATAGCCAAACCATCTTCCAAAATAATGATATAATCATGTTACTCCCTTGGCTTGAAAATTTTCTAAACTTTTCCTAAAAAGCAAAATCTAAATTCATATTTTCATTCAAAGAATATAATGGTCTGGTCTCAGCCTATTTACACAACTTTACTTCCCACTGCTCCCCCAAATTACATTCTGTTCTAGCAAGGTACCGTTCCTCACCAGTCCTTGAGCATGTCACACTTACTCCCAACCCCACATCTTGGCTTATAAATCTCCCCCCACCAGAAAGAAATTATTAGTTCTTACTGATACTTTCTCAATCACATCACTCCCTATTTTCTTCATATGTTTGTGATAATACCATGCTGTTTCAATAAGAAATAGAACAAATCACAGTCGCTTGAATTCTTTAAAAATAACTATATATTCCTCTGAAAAGCATTCTATTTTTTTTAAATGTTGGGGGGGGCAAATAAATGAATCTTCTGAGAGTACCTTTTTTCTTTCATGCTTTAGGTTTGGCTCTCTAACCATGGATGGTGGCCTTCGCAATGTTGACTGTCTTTAGCTCTCTAAGACGTTTGAGAAAAGTTTCAGTTTGCACAAGAAAATAATGCTGGGGCATTAAATGAATGGCTTTATAGGTGGGCTCTCATTTCTACAGTTCAGTATTTGATGTGGTCATGTAAATATGTACAATATTGTAAATACATTAAAAATATATAAATTTTTGGCTGCTGTGAAGATGTAATTTTACCTTTTAACATTTATAATTACGTGAGGAAATTTGACCTCAGTGAGCACGAGAAGAAAGCCATGACCGACTGAAATGTTGAGATCCTCTACTCTGAGTGAGGCCAAATAAGTCATTCTCTCTGCCTACTGGAAATGTTTTTAAGTGGAACCACAACTGGCATCCTTATGAATGAGAAAGACTGTGAGAACTGGCGCGTTTGTAAATGGAAGAGTGGAGAGGTGGCTACTGTGAGTGGGGAACAGAACCGAACCACTGTTTTACTAGAGTCACAATTTTTTTGAGAAGAATAAAGTGGCATTATTTCATTTTACAAGGTGCCCAGATCCCAGTTATCCTTGAGTCCATTTAATTTCAGATGAATTATTGAGCAAAATTTCTAAAGGTAATTCATTATTAAAAACTATTCATTTTTCCTTTGGCCATAAATGTATAATTGTCATGAAAGTTTTAGGGTCATTCAACTGTTTTAAGCTGTATATTTCTTTACTTTAATTCTGCTTAATATTTCATGGGAAAAAAATCAATAAATTTCTCAATTTTAACATAAAGAGTTTGTGTGTTTCTGTGTATACAGTTTGACAAGCAAAAGTTATCTTTTGAAAGAAACAGTATGGGTAGTAATGATAAATTATTCTCAGAATATTGGATATAGGGACAATTTTGTCTCTGCTAAGCCCATTAATTCCAAATTGAGAAGTTCTTTCATAAATTCATGCTATACACATTAAAAGGGAACATCTTTGAAAAATCTATCCCCAGTTGTAGACTAAGGATTGTACTCAGCAAGAAATTATTTCAGGCCGGGCGCGGTGGCTCATGCCTATAATCCTAGCTCTCTAGGAGGCCGAGGCGGGCGGATCGTTTGAGCTCAGGAGTTCAAGACCAGCCTGAGCAAGAGCGAGACCCGTCTCTACTAAAAAAATAGAAAGAAATTAATCGGACAACTAAAAATATATAGAAAAAAATTAGCCGGGCATGGTGGCGCATGCCTGTAGTCCCAGCTACTTGGGAGGCTGAGGCAGAAGGATTGCTTGAGCCCAGGAGTTTGAGGTTGCTGTGAGCTAGGCTGACGCCACGGCACTCACTCTAGCCTGGGCAAAAGAGTGAGGCTCTGTCTCAAAAAAAAAAAAAAAAAGAAATTATTTCATCCAACAGGATCTTTATTTGCTTTGTTTAGGTTTCTGGCTTATCAGACTATTGAAGGGTGATTACACACAACCTGCATGTCATAAAAAGCTATCATATCCTAAAGAGTAAATAAATTTGACTGCCATGAACATCAGAAACCAAATCATTTTAAGAACTGAAAATGGATTAGCATTTTATTTGAGATTATTGATACATCATTGTAGTGGGGAATTTTAAGTGTCATGTACACATTATAGAAATAAATGCAAGTGTGTATGCTTTTATGTATATAAATAGTTATCCATTGGGAGATACCTGTTTAGTCTGAGTGTGTGGGGCAAGGAGAATGTTTAATATTTCTTGATTTTAATTTTCTATTTGACCATCTAACATGAGTATCTTTAATTTTATAGTTGAAATGTTTATATCTTTGAATATCAGGTAAAATTTTACTCAAGCTATGTGATTAGTTTGATACATTTGCTGATTTAGTTTTTATTTCAGCACCTCTAGTAAAGAACAATAAACGAACCCTTGTGTCTGTATTTGTATTGATAGGAATATACCTGTTCTACATTAGTATTTTTTAAGATTTACTAGGGGGTTTTGGTTGTTTGGTTTTTGGTTTTTTTGGAGACAGGTTCTCACCTTGTTGCCCAGGCTGGAGTACAGTGGCACAATCATAGCTCACTGCATCCTCAAACTCCTGGGCTCAAGTAGATCCTCCCACCTCAGCCTCCCAAGTAGCTGGGACTACAGGTGCACACCACCACACCCAGCTACTTATTTTTTTTTATTTTTTGTAAAGATGGGGGTCTCACTATGCTGCCCAGGCTGATCTTAACTCCTGGCCTCAAGCAATCCTCCCACTTTGGTTTCTCAAAGTGTTGGGATTACAGGCGCGAGCCACCATACCCAGCCAGATTTACTGTATGATTCCCCCATTACAGTGACATGTAAATAAAGCATTCTTGTTTTCAATATTCCACCCTCAAAAATGCAACCTCATTCAAAACATTTTAAGTCAATAATCGCATGATGATATTAGTCTGCTAATTTTCAGTGACTATTTAAAGTGAAATTAACTTTAAAATAAGTTACATTTCCAGTTTAGTAGCCTTTTCCCCAAAATTAGAATGTTTCTAAAAGATAGGGATTAATGGTATAAAAATAATATATATAATAAACAGAAGAATCAGTAGATTTAACTCAAAAGAGGGTGTAGTTCTAACAGAAGAAATAAAAAAAGGAAATAAATGAATATAAAGTATGTGAAAAGGAGGGGTAGTTTCAAGTAAATAAAGAGGGATTTAAGGTTAGAAAGGAAATCAGAAAAATAATCCCATTATGTCTTCCAAAATTATGGCTGCTATTATTTTGGAAGTTACCAAATACTATATTAGTGGCTTATGGACCTGATTACACTATGTCAAATGGAATGGCTCTTCTTAGATATAAAAAAACTTCTCAGAACATTTCTTTAAAAATATGTCTTCAGTGAATTAGCCAGAAAAAAAATACAATAATCCTGGATTTTTTGTGGTGGTGGTTTTGTTTTGGATTTTTTTTTTTTTTTTAAGAAATGATGTTTATTTTGGGGGTGTTCTGTGTTAAAAATAAGAAACATTGTTTGGAATTAAGAAAGGGACTATCAGTAGGATTAGGAACTCTAAACTGAAGTGTCAACATTTTCCCTTCAGAATTACAGCCATAAGCAGAGCTGCTATTCTGATTTCACCCCACTCTGGTGTGTTTCCTGCATTGTGCTTTGTCTCTGAGGATGTGCTGCAGAAAACTTACAATTTCTCAAACAAGTTTTCAAAGCTGAGAAATGCTGGGGCAGGCATTGTTAAAGGGAAAACATTTAAAGAAGTGTTAACAGTTCTGTTTTAGCCGGATTCTCCACCCCACATCCCACTTTTAAGACCAAGTTATCTGAAAAACTCTTACACCGTTGTTTTAGTTGGACTTGCTCCTCACTTGTCACTTATAACAAGACTCAAGTCCAAATGCCTAAGAAATACTGAAAATGGAATAGAAAACAAAAACATCTGATTTGGAAATAAAAACAGGCAATATAATATCTGTTTCTAGGCCGGGCGCGGTGGCTCGCGCCTGTAATCCTAGCACTCTGGGAGGCCGAGGCGG